CCTTAAAAGTCAACAATGGCTACTTATGTGACAGTTGCGGTAAGAAATTTAGCAATGACACAAGTTTGGTCTTGCACATAACAACAGTCCAAGAAGGTCGAAAAGATTACGCATGTAAAAAGTGTGAAAAGAAATTCGGGCATAAACATCATTTACTCCAACACCAAAAGACAGTACACGAAGGTCGAAAAGATTTCGAATGTAACAAGTGTGAGAAGAAATTCGGGGTAAAATCGTATTTGCGCGTCCACCAAAAGACAGTTCATGATGGTTGCAAAGATTTTGCATGCGATCAATGCGAGAAAAAATTTACACAAAAATCGAATTTACTTACCCACTTAAAGACGATACATGGAGGTCGCAAGGATTATGCATGCGACAAATGCGAGAAGAAGTTTGGACAAAAATGGATTTTGCTTCAGCATCAAAAGACAGTTCATGAAGGTCGAAAGGATTACGCATGTTACAAGTGTGCTAAGAAATTTACACAAAAACCGAGTTTACTCATGCATCTAAAGACGTTACATGAAAGTCGCAAAGATTACGCTTGTGATAATTGCGAGAAGAAATTTGGAATGAAGTCGAATTTGCTTATCCACCAAAGGACAGTCCATGAAGGTCGCAAAGATTTTGCATGCGACAAGTGCAAGAAGGAATTCACACAAAAAGGAAATTTTTTTAACCACCTAAAGACAGTACACGATAATCGCAAAGATTTTGCATGCGATAAGTGCGAAAAGAAATTTGGGCGAAAATCAAATTTGTTCAGGCACCAAAAGATTGTCCACGAAGGTCGGAAAGATTTTACATGTGACGAGTGCGGGAAGAAATGTGGAATAAAATGTAATTTGACTATGCACCAAAAATTAGTCCATGAAGATCGCAAAGATTTTGCTTGCGATCATTGCGAGCAGAAATTTGGAGAAAAATCAAAATTGTTTCGACACCAAAAGACAGTCCACGATGGTCGCAAAGATTACTTATGTGACAGCTGTGGTAAGAAATTTGGACAAAAATCGACTATGCTCATTCACCGAAAGACTGTACACGAAGGTCGTAAAGATTATGCATGTGACCGTTGCGAGAAAAAATTTGGACAAAAACCGCATCTACTTGCCCACCAAAGGACAGTCCACGAGGGTCGCAAAGATTTTGCATGAAGTAAAAGAGGAAATGACGATTGACAATTGTAAATAATGTATGTACTTATAAATATGTTTTTCCGAAATGTCATTAAAAAATGTGCTAATATAATTGAACGTTATCTTCATTTTGTGCATTCATAATTACGATCATTACACCTTTGTTCGCTGTCGTGGTGGTGCTTTATTTTTGTATTAGACGAAATTTCCCATGCTGCTAATTATTACTCTCTGTTAATTTCTGTAAGTCTTGTTTGGAGCTGTAAAAGGTTCAAGCTTTTATTGGGATACTTTATTTTTGATAAACCTCACGGAAAGATATGCTGAACTGATTCACCCAATAAGTCCAGGACGAACATATTTTTGATACTTTTTTGTACCGCTGTACTTTTGCTGAAAATGGGGTCTGGAGAACTTTCGAATAAGCATAATCTACGCAAAATTTAATGAACTTTCTGAATCCGGTGTCAGATTTTTGATATAACAAACAGGTCAAAAGTTGTGGATGGTTATATAAAAAAACGTAATTTCAAAAAAAAATTTCTTCTCCTTTTCCAATTTTCACATGAAAATCTTTTAAATACTAGCGTCTTCAGTACAAATAAAGCATCCATGGGTCTTTATCTTAAAGTTATGATGGTTCAGAATAGTGAAATATGATTTTAAGTACCAAAAATGGCGATTGGAAAACGAAAATATATAAGGAAATTTTTATCTCAAAAACGATGGATTTGAGGCACAAATTTTACGGATGAATGAGTTGTTTGATAAATTCTAATAATATCATATATTGAACAAATCAACGCTTTAAGTGACGAAATTTCGCATCACTCTTCAACCTGATTCATTTTCGAGTTCTAACTCATGGACCAATTCTGTAAATAATTTTTAAGACGTAAAATTAAATATCCCTTTAGAATCAGAGCTTAAACTTAAGATTGGGTGCGTGATTGAAAAGTTTGTCTATGTAGCTTCGTGAAATCTGCCTCTATCTTGATCGCTCGACTTGTATGCTGTATGTGAAAAAAATATATAATTCATAATATTTCAACATAGAAAAAAAGTTGTGATCGAATTATAAAATCGTAAATAAATTCATTTATTACATTTGCGTCACTTAGTTCGTGATCACGCTTAACTGTGATAATTTTTTCGAATATTATAAATATATCGAAATTGTTCGCACTTAATTCTCAGTTTTCAATTTCAATTAAATTATTACATAAATAAATGTATAACTAGCTGGGAACATGGATCATTATAGAGCTTTACGAGGTTCTCCTCGAGGAGGACTGCATTTTGACATGTGTCAAATTCATACTCGATCGAGGCCTCATAAAATTAAAAGCCCGAGGTACCAAATTACTCTATAAGAAAGGAGAACTCTGAGTAAATAACGAAGCATCCAAGAAGGATCTCAAGTAAGTGGATTCCTTTATTCAACATTCCATAATCGCTGTTTAATGAAAGTATGTATATTTGATTTTCAGACCTATTGAGCTGCAAGATCTGAGTTTACTGACCGACTACACCATGACCAAAGCCGTCGTTACACGTAAACATTAATCGGTGACTTCGCCAACGAGTAACTTAGCGAGCGATGTAGGACAGAGTGTGGTACCCTTCGTGGACATGAATGCCGCCATGTCACAGGGAGTCGACACTCCATTGTCCAGAGTCGAATTGACCCACAAAAGTCACAAAATTGGTGCAGCTGGTTACTTAGCACTATAGATTATAGTTCATGTTCGAGAAAAGAAATGATAATCCAAAAGTCTCGCCAAAGATACATAACTTCCATCTGTAATTATCTATATGATATCTATTGATGGCGTAGAAATAAAGTAAGATTTTCTGAAAAAAAATTATATAATTCAATTAAATCACTACGTTAAAATAAAATTTTTCATGAAAAAAATTTACATACGTCAACCACAAGTACCATCGTTTTATAAAATAGTAGAGCTTACAATAGCATTCTGAATGGGTGTTTTGTCTGACATGACTTTTTTGCCCCTACATTCGAAGCACCTGAAAAATAATTCTTATAATTTGAACATTGTGGAGAAAAAAAAATAATATGGTCTATCTGTAGTAAACTCTATATTGCAAGAGATATATCAATTGATCAATCGGTCAATCTACCAATCCATCAATCAATTAATATATCATTACAATGTTTCAGTTAGAAATTTGTACGATCTGTAAGATTCACCATATTGTCATTCAGACCTACACGTTTGAAATAACCATTGTGCATTCTAGCGCGATCGAGCGTGACCGTCGTTTTTATTTTAACTACTGGTTTAACGCGTCGGCAACTTATAACAACTAATATTCTGAACACTTAGTTTGAAAAAAATATTTACAAAAAAATTTGCTTTTGATTCATGTGGCCTCGGGGAGAATTTTATTCATAATTTTATTTTATGTTCAATTATATTTAAATTTATGTATTTTATTTTTCTTTACATGCCAAGAACAAAAGTCTAGAAACAATAAGACTTTTTCAGAAACCTCTAAAATCTGCTTGCTTATGAAGAAAAAACATTTCCTCTTCTAGGTATATTGATCAGAATTTTTTTCAAACCAAACTTATCCAAAAAAGTTGTTGGGCTCAACGTGGATTCGCTCAACATAAATTTAGACTTTTAAAGATAAATTAAGTACAAAATTCTGAAAACAAGTTTGAAAATTTTGATTCTCAAGCTGATTTCAGCATCACCCTGATACTATTATTAATAAATGATAGCCTAAACAGTTAACCAAATGACATTAACTATGAAAAACTATTTTTTTTTAAATTTAATTAGGTGGGCTTCTTTATTTTGAATGAGGAAATAAGTAGTGATTGAAGCATGACTGAAAAAGTAATCTCGATAGTTACATTTGCGTCACATACTTCGTGATCATGCGAGCAATTATGCATTTTTCCAAGAGTATAAATTTCCTTGAATTCCTAGAACTCAAAACTGCGTATTTAGTTAACAAAATTACTTTAATATGAATCTAATATCGACTGTATTTTCATTTTTATTTTTATTTGTTTCGGTGCGTAATGTAGCCGCGGGCGCAGAACCATTTCAAGTGGTTTTATCTGGACTCGATGTTTTCTCATCGTTAAATAATCCAAACGAATTATTCAAGTCTCTTCTTGACTTTGTTTCATTGATATCGTCGAATGAAGACTCAGTGGAAGAGAACTTGAGTGTCATTCGCAGTACACTCACTGATATCAATAATAAATTAGATGTCATTGCTGAAGATCTCCAGGGTTTCAGAGAAGAAGTTATTACTAAACTGGAAGAATTAAAGTTGGACGCTGTACTCATATCAAGATTAGATGACTTCTTTAAAAATGCAGAGAAGATAGACTTGTATTACGCTCGATTTACAGAAGTGTCGAAAGCAAAGTATCCACGAGCAGCTTTGGATGACTTCGTAAGCAGTGTCAGAACATTGAACGGAGGTGTAAGAACAATTTTGACCGAGATGCATAATGCACTGAGTCTTAATAGATGGACATCGAGTGCTTTCAACGTTATGTCCGATAACACTATTGTGAGTCTCTTCAAACATATATTGATTTATTTCTTTTTGAAATAAATGTTAACTTTTCAGGTTTCTTCTCTCGTTTGTTCGAGAGGCCGCTCTCAGCAACTTATTATTTACAATTTTTATAAAGCACTATGTGCAGCTGAGCTCAAAGGAATAACAATGGATTTGTTTGCAATTAAGAAGCAAATGAAAAAAAAGCAAGGTAGAAGTAATTTTTATCAAGTATTTTCTATTCTAATTTAATTAACACGTATCTTTCAAAAAATAGAGATGATTTGGGAAATAAATAGCATGCAAGCAGCATTCACTCAAAGATCCAATCAAGCTGTATCAGCTGTGAAAAAAGCCATGTCAAAAGCATCTCGTGAATTTTGGAGATGCAATTCGAGTCCTCGAGAAGGTGAGCAGCGATGAATTTCCAATGTAACAATTTTAAATCAATATTTTTGTAGGCGTCACTTTCGAGAAAGTTGGCCCGTTCATTTATAAATCATTCGAACCTGAGCGGGGTCTGAAGAAAATCGGAGATCCTCAAGGTCATCACTGGTGCGTCGGAGACTGTCCCCGATTTTCCAATGCTTTAAGTTTGTGTCCTCGCGGTCAATTTGCAGAAGACTGCAACAAGTTTGCACACAATTGTCCTGGTTATCTAAAGTTTTGCGAATCTTTCGATTCGACAATAAGAATTTGCAATTCACCGGTAATTCAACAAGATCGCAATTCAAACATTGATAAAATTTTCATGCTCTCTATTCTTTTGAAGGGTGGAAGCCAACGCAAGTACGAATATGTAGAAGGCTACAATGGGAAGTTCCTTGGTAAAAGAGGATCATGTGCGAGAGTGACTAATTATGCTTCATATTTGTATGGCTTTCATGAATGTCAAATTTGCTTATGTACATGTGAAAATCCCGATAAAAATTTGGATATTTATGTTAACTTGAGAGAAGTTGTGTCTGATGTATATCAAAACAAGTAAGAATTTCGAGATTTGAATGTTTTTCTATCTGTCATCATTAATATGAACAATATTTCAATTTTTTTACAGAGTCATCGTGGGGATTCGTCTGAAAAAAATCGATGGAATTTTTTATCTTCAAATACAAGAAGCTGTACTTTTACCATCGGGCACAGTCGATCCAAAAACGAAATCATGGGCACGAATTAACACGTATAAAAGAACTGACGGTAATGTGCGGGAAGGTGTCGATTATTTTCGATTAAGCTGGGATCACAGTTCAGTGGAGCTGGACGATATTGTGCTCAATGGCGATTCCGTTGTAACTGGGGTTAAATTCACTTTTGCTCAGGGTCTTTTAAGATTGGAAGTTCGAGGACATAGATTCGATTATAAGCAAGGAAAATTGAAAATTCCTAATTATTCGTGGCATCGTAATATTAAAAGTACCAGCAGTCTCAGGTAAATCTAATGATGATGCCTCGTACATGAATCAAACCCGTGCTAAATGAAAAAAATCAATTTTTAGCCAACTTGGACTGACTTACCTAGATTTGCCGTCAGATCATTCAAACAATCCGATTCATTCGTATCCAGGTCAGTATGTGACGTTGAGAACGAGCAGTCTTGAACACGATGTTGGACAGAGTATTATACCATTCTTGGACGTAGACCCTGTTGAATTGAGACAGCCAGCGCCTTTGTCAGGAATTGGATTATTCCATAAAAGTTACAAAAACGGCGCGGCTGGATATTTAACGCTTAAAATTTTGAACTATGATTATGAACCTTATGTTAAAATTGTTGTTTAAAAATCCGGAATACAACTAAGATTGAGTAGGTTAGTGAAGAGAAAGACTCAATAAAAAGAAAACAGTATTGTACCCCAAGAGGAATAGAAAATTAACAATAAATCGTTAAAAATTTTATTTCAATTCAATTTTATGTAAATACATCCAAATTTTTTCATTATTGAAAATAGTTATAGGCATAACGAGGATGCTTTTAATTCATTACTTTCTAGATATTAATGTAGCTTTTAAACGAAATATAAAGTATACACGTCTGAAAGACAGGGTGTGGTTCGTACACATAAGAGTTTTACACAATTAATTTTGTTCACGAGGTGAAGTGTACAAAAATTGTAAACACTTTTTATTGTAAATAATTCTTTTGTACCCACTTTTATTCGTACACAATTTTTTCGTCACACTTTTGTTTGTACACACCGAGTGGCAGTGCTAATTGTTTTATTGATTTGGTATTCTATCTCGTCAGCATGTAGAATTGTGTTTTTCTTGCGAGGATAGAGGAACACGTGTTATGTACGAGAAAAGCTCGAGAATCAATGCGAGAGTCGATTATCCGACGAGTCCCACCGAAATTAGCACTCTGCTGGCGGTGGCGATACTCGTCGCTCTTGTTACCGATTTTCAATTGTTATACGCGATCGGCTTATTTCGGAGTGATCTCACGAAACATTTTCATAACTCGAGTCTACGTCCGACATTCAAGTTTAATTTTAAGTCTAACCTTCACTATTTTTATGAAAGAAATGTGGCAATTAAATATCGATTTGCTGGATGAGATCTTCGACAGGATGGATATAGGGCTACGTTGAAGAATTACATGAAAGTTTGCACGTAAGTATCAATTTTCAAATACAAATGCAACTGTAAAAGAAATCGCGTAAAAAATCATGAGTCATGTCTCTTTTTTTTATAAACTCGCAGTGTAACGAATTCTATAATTATAAACAATAATTTAATTCCACCATTTAATAATAGTCATTTAATAATAATTATTTAATAATAATGTATTTTCATATTTTTTATTGTAGTATATTTAACCTGAAATTGTTTTATTGTTTTATAAATTAATAAAAAAATAAAATTTTGCTCGGTAGTTTATGGCGAGATCAAGCTGTGGCGATGATCAAAAGAAAGATATCCTCGGAGTTTTCTCTTTTCGTCGAGGAGGAGTTAGAGGAGATAAACGACGTCATGGTGGAGAACTTCGATGAAATCTACGATGAATATAAAACCAGCTGCTTCGTAGAACCTAAGACTTTCCAAAAATTGTTGGAAATATTAAAGGAGAGAGAGGTGCTGGAAAATAGCAACTATTTCATTTGTAAGTAGAAAATTTTATTTGTTGCAACATCAATCTTGACCAAAATGAATAATGATTTGAGAAGTCAGAGGTGGACACAGAGTGCTTTTGACGTATTATCTAATAAAGATATGGTAAGGCACTGAATTGATATGAAGATTTATATGTTGTATTATTGCATCATTGATAACGATTCAGGTGTCTTCACTCGTTTGTTCGAGAGGCCACTCGCAGCAACTCATCATTCTAAGAATCGAAACTGCATGATTCTTTAATTTATGATTTAGGTATTTTTATCATATGTGTCAATTGGTATTCAAACGTGAAACGATGTGATAAGTAAATATCATGTTGGGATTTTTATATAGAGAAGAAGGGAAATTATTTTTTTACTATTATGGGGGCCTGCCAGGATATCCTGGCGGGCGATGTCGCAAAAGTGCGGCGCTATCTGGCGCCAATCGGCTCAATAGGCTTTGGCCTATGGCTCAATGTTGCCCTACAGTCTAATGTGGACCTGTAGGGCCTGGCACGAAACAGGTTCACTGACCATATCACGGCGCTATTGTTCCCGACAGGCTAAGGCCTGCCGGGCTAAGCTGGCTCACGGCGCAAAATTCGCTATTCGCTGAGGCTACAGCCTCGCGGAATCGCTGGTGGATTTACAAAGAGCTACTTGTAGGCTCATTTGCCACGATCGTACCGTCGTAAGTCGCCAGCTTATATGCGAAAATTAATGACTCTCCGCTCGCGGATTCGAATATGACACCTTGCGGTGGAGCGCGAACTACGCAACACGGCGATGTCTCGGCAGCAGACTTGGAACGTTTCGGCAGTCGCGTCACAATCGTACACAGTGCAAATCGTGATCTACACGTGTATACACGTAAACATACGTCAGTGTACGGGGCTGCGCATTCGGAGAGTCTAAAGTCCGACGAAATTGGCACTGAAACTACTGCAGCGCAGCGCACTTACTCATACATGTGTATGTGCGTGTGTTATTTGCATGTGTTGCACACACAAGGCACGAGGGTCGCTCGAGCTTCTCTTTTCCATCGTACATAGCTGATGCTACTGCAGCTTCGTGTAGTGCACGATGCACTTTGCGTGTTCTACATTGTCATGTATACACCTAAGATAAGCTGATAACAATTTTTCATTATACATTTTTTTTTTGCGTTGACTCGATGTTGTCTGTCGGTCGAGTTTGTTTGGAAGTACTAAGTTTTAAAAAGCCCAAAAATTCCTTGAAGAAATCGTCGCCAAGTTAGAATTTTAAATTATTTAGAATATTGTAAGGATAATGTATAAATAGATACATCGGGATCTTAATCGTAAACAATATGACCATAAACGGGTTTGACATCGTTCCTCGACACACTGATCGTGTTTATAATAAGAACAAATTAGTTTGAATGTTGTCTTTCCCAATGAAACAATACATGATACCAAAAGATCAATTTTATTCATTCAATAAATAAAGTAGAAAGATCCATCGTTTATTTTAGGCACCAAAATGGTTAAAACTGAGAAGAAACCGGAGAATATCGTTTCAAAAGATAACTCAAGTGAAAACGACATTGCTGTTTCAGACGACAAGCAACACATCTGCGATATTTGTCTGGAGGCATTTACACTCGAATCAAGCTTGATAGCACACCGAGTCACTAGTCACAATGATCAGAAAGATTATCCTTGTGACAAGTGCGATCAGAAATTTGAGTTCCGAGGTCTTTTGAGTAGACACCAAATATCGGTACACAAAGGCCGAAATGAGTTTGATTGCGACAGATGTGTGAAGAAATTTGTGAAAAAATCGAGTTTGCTTAGGCACAAAAAATTAGCGCATAAAGATCGCGACGATTTCACATGTAACAAGTGTAAGAGGAAATTTGAAAATGAATTAACTTTATTCAAACACAAAAAAATATTCCATGAAGTTTTCAAAAATTACTTGTGTGAAGTGTGCGCGAAGAGATTCGATACGAAACTTGGTTTGCTTTTGCATATAAAGACAGTACACGATAAGCGTGAGCAGAAAATTGGACAAACATTGAAAGTGATTAGATACCAAAAGACAATCAACGATGGCAAAGATTTTGCATGCGACAAGTGCGATAAAAATTTTACCCGAAAATCAACATTGCTTTTACACCAAAAGGTAGTACACGAAGGTCGGAAATATTTAGCATGTGACAAGTGCGAGAAAAAATATGCACAAAAATCGCATCTGCGCAATCACCAAAAAACAGTCCACGAAGGTCGGAAAGATTTCGTATGTGACATGTGTGATAAGAAATTTTCACAAAAATCGGGTTTGCTATACCACCAAAAGACGATACATGAAGGTCGAAAAGATTACGCATGTAACAAATGCGAGAAAAAATTTACACTAAAATCAGATTTGTTAAGGCACCAAAGTACAGTTCACGAGGGTCGAAAAGATTATGCATGTGACCAATGTGAGAAGAAATTTGGACGAAAATCGAGTTTGTATGTACACCAAAGAATAATCCACGAAGGTCGCAAAGATTTTGCTTGAGATAAATGTTTTTTAAATTTCAATAAATACTGTGCCGAAATTATTATGTTGTATTTGAACCTCGCGCAAATAAATAAGATATCGCGTATCAAACAGAAATTAAGTCTAGATATTCTTTTGCAACAATTGTACGCCTTCGACGACGTCTTTCTCTCTTTCTCTTTCTTTGTCGGCGAGGAAGTCGGGATCGTTCCACTCTTGAAGCTCGCCGCTTCCCCAGATCAAGAACACCACCTCCGTGACGGCGAACATGAGAAAGACGATCCAGAAGACCGAGCGCCACTCGTCGACCGTCGAGTTGGGCGTCAGCAGGCCGACCAGGTACGGCGAGAAGATGCCGCTGAGCGTCGAGATGCCGTTGACCAGGCCCATTATCGTGCCGGCGTAATTCGGCCCGAGGTCGAGGGCGTTGGCGAGCACGCTGAAGGTCGCGCAGCCCAGCAGACTCTGGCCCAGCGTGAGAAAGCTCACGGCCAGGATCTTGTCGCAGCCGGCGTACGAGACGGCGACCATGAAGACGCCCGGACCGAAGGCGGCCACGGCGCTGCCGATCTTGCGTACTTGGCCGATGCTCAGGCGGCCCCGGGCGACGAGGTGGTCGGCGAAGCTGGACGCCACGATGCCCACGATCCACTTGCAGAGGTAGGGCAGCGACGACAGATAGCCGTTGCTCTCGATGGAGAACTTGAGCACGCCGCCGAGGTACTTGGGCATGTCGCTGACTATCGTGATGAAGCCCCAGGCGTTGCCGATCGTCGCTATCATCAGCGCCCACACGGGCTTGGATCTCAGTATCGCGCGCCACGGTATAGATTTGGAATTCGCGTGGTTGTTCGCTGTAGAAAGAAGTCAATTTTTAATAGAGAAATTGTGCCAATAATTGAAAATCCATTTGCGAAACCAACTCACTCAATTTTTCTTTCAAATACTTCGCCTCCCGTTCGGATATGAACGGATGCTCGTCCGGCCTGCTGTAGCAGAACGCTGCGTTTAGCAAAAACGCCACCAAGCCCATCACACCGTAGAAGTAAAAAACCACCTCCCAGTCGCTGGTGTACTTCAGGATGATTCCCGAGGCCGACATGCCGAAGATCGTGCCGAGATAGGCGCCCGAGAAGGTCAGGGCGGATGCCTTGGATCGCTCGTCCTCCGGAATCCATTGGGAGAGCAGAGCGGTGAGGGCGGGATAGGTCGGGCCCTCGCCCACGCCCATGAGCACTCGCAGCGCGATCAGGCCCCGGAGGCCGCCGTGACGGACGACGAGAGGCGTCGCCAGGGTGAGCAGCGAGGTCGACAGGATGCCGAGGCCGAGGGTGTGACGGCCGCCGAAGCGCTCGGCTATCACTCCGCCGGGGAGATTGGTGAAGAGGTAGCCCCAGTAGAAGGAGGACAGTATTATACCCTTGAAATATATACATTTTTTTTTTTAATTTTATTCCAGCCAAATTTGTTCAAATATCCATTCAAAACTTTTAACATAATTATTGAAAACAGTTGTCTGGCAAATCGTGTTTATTTTATTATTGTTTATTTTATTAGTGCCTAGGCATCAAAGTATTTTTAGAGCTTTTTATTTTATATTATTTTAAAAAATAAGTTAATATAAGAATAATTATAAATGATGACTACAAAAAAGCCTCTTATGATAAAAATTATATATAATTCGTAATGATGAATAAATTAGGGAAATCATACTTTAATAGTCCGAGATTCGTAAATAAAATATTATTCAATATTATATTTCATAAAAGAAACTAATTGTAATGTAAAAGTATCATATAACTAATAAAATTTAATGACCATTTTTAGATCACGTACATACATTTTCCAAAGAGTATAAATTTCCATTCGATTTCTAACTTTCATAACTTCGTATTCATTTAGAAAAAATAACTTCAACATGAATCTAATACTGACAATATTTTTATTTTCATTTCTATCCATTAATGTACGCGATACAGCAGTATTCTTAAAATATAAAAAATTATCATTTGAAATTTTATGCAGAATGTAGAGAGATTTTTCGTTTTAGAAGTACAATAAAAATAAAAATGCACAAAAAATTTTCATTAGAATCACGTACCTGAGTATATTCATCCCAATCAAACAAACGAGTTGTACGAGCAATATCATTTTTTCCCTCTGAATTAATTGAATTATTAAGACCAGGACACGTTTCTCCTTTTAATTCCAAGGTTTTTTCCGTTGACTCGACCATTTCTGTAATGGCTATAGATAAGCATATTCGCATGTGATATGCACTGAATAATCCTAAAAAACCCATCGTTACAATGACCCATCGTTGAGGAATATTTATACCTGTTAATAATAAAAAATTTATCAGAAAGATGTTATTCCATAAAAAATTAAGTATACCATAAGAAAATGTAGAAAAACGATTAACAGCAGACATAAATTCAAATTATTATTTCAAGTCTTCAGAGTTATACGAAAAATCAACTGGCTGAATCGAAATGAAATTTTTCAATAAATAAAAAAAACCACATTAAAATCGAGGTATCTTAATACATTTTAAATCTTTTGCAGCATGATTTTTATGCATAATATTTTACAGTTACGAGTACTTACAACAGGATTTCAGTACTGCCGCCATTTCAAATACATTTATTTCATGCACGGAATCAAGAACTCTTCTACCTAAAATATGACACTCAATCACACAAATCATAATTAAAATGTATAAAAAAATTTAACTTACCGTTGATGACAGTTTTTACAGCAACGTAAGCATTTGTAATATGCTTATTTTAAAATTAGTGAATTACTCAACCTTGCAACGCTCGATCAGGCTGTACATCTTTTACTTGTATCGCGAAAAACTAACTTGCTAAAAATAAGATTGAATTAGAAGTTACATTCTAGGAGATGAAAGCGTCATTGCTGTACTCTTCCATGAGTATAAAATGATATCAAGAATTCGGACGTCAAAAAAATTGTTCACAAAGATAGTAACTGATTTACAATTTACTGCATGCGTGCATAGGTACGTATATATTCAATAAATTACAACTCTACAAGTTAATGTTTAATATTATTAATGCTTAAGCTTATCTTAAATTCTTTCATTAAGCTCGGTTCATTTGTTCACAACAATCAAACAAACAAAATTTATTGAATTTGACGTTTTTTGGGTTCTTAATATCAAACATAATCAATACCTAACAAAAAATATATTAAGGGGACAAATACACCTTAAAATCGTACATACTAGAAAAGCGTCTCTAAATTTACAGGAGGTCTCCTTGACTTAAAAAATTTCAAATTTAATTGTATGTCTAGGTATCGAAACATTCAAGTTCAACCAATAATCTGTTCAAGTTCCTGAATCGCTCTATTTGTTTATTGCAACAATGCCTATGTTCGCTACCTCAGACATAGTGTTAGCACTATCAAAAGGCTCTGTGTGACTATAATTGTGAGAATATTCTCATAAAGTGAAAAAAATTTTTTAAAAAATATTAGTTTCATGCTATAATTATGGTTTTGACTTGTTGGATAATTTTGCTAGAGGTAGAGGTTTGTACATTTAGAGACACTTTTCCAGTATGTAGGAGTGAACATATTTTATTTAAAGGGTTAGTAAGAATCCTCAACGTTGAAAAATCTCAATTTTTATTTAAGGTCTATTTTTTTTTTTTTTTTTTTTTAAATAAAAAGGGTTTCGCAAAATGCAATGGAAAAGGGACAAAAAATACTACTCAAAAATGAAATAAAAATTTTTTTTAAACATAAAAGAAAGTAGTGCACAAAGTATTTTGTATTAATTGTTCTTTCTGATTATATTCAATAGACTATAGCCAATTATAGATTATTCGTTGCATAGAATTGTAAGTGAAATCTACAATCGAAACACTTTTATCTTATACATGTATTAAATTAGAAAAAAAGTAGGCAAAGTATAAGTAAAAGAATTATTTTTTTATTATAATTTTTATTATAATTTATTAATACTTAAATACATCGTGTATAATCTTAAAAAAATAAATTGAATCGATCAATTTTTGTATTTAAAAATTATCTAAACCTTTACTTATAAGATTCATACTAATGTAAAGTAGTCGAATAATATACACAACAAACAATTTTTCAATTGACGGCAAGAGTATATTATTAAAATAATTTCACTATTGTTTCGGCACACGATAATAGGAACTATGTATACAATATGTACAAATGTTTACATACAAAAACTATTTACAGCTTACAACATATTTTCTTATTTAATCGTAGTACCATAGAATAATGAACACTTGTGGATTTTGTTGTTTAAAAAAGGCATACTTTTCGCTCTCTAAGTTGCGTACTAATACACATAAGACAATATAAAATAAGGCGACGCCGACTAAAACGTCATTGATGTACTATATTCCTTGAGTAGGATGCGCTATCTCAAAACTCGATATAACAGCAGTTAAAGTTGTTAACAAAGATAGTAACTGATTTACAATTCGCTACACACGTGGGCATATGCGTGAGTATGATATTTTTAAGTAAAATAAGGCCTTCGCTAGTCAGCCTCAAAATGCCATAAGTCGAAACTAAATATTATTGCGACACGTGTATTATTGAGCTAACAATTATACTCAATTATCTACATTTATAATATCGCGATTTTGTATAAAAAAATACATTCTGTCAATGAGTATATTTAAAATTATGATATGAAATTTAATTACATTATAAATGGTAAAAAATGAAAATTTAAATGGATCCAAGTCAAAAAAACTTCACTGGTAAATCTTTGATTTTGAATTGAGTTACGAATTTTTGTTTACAATTCACCAATGAAATTTTCCAAACCAGGTACTTTTTACAAGTCAAGCATCTGATGGATGATGCATCACGGCAATAGCAAGGCACTTTTACAGCTCGCTGAGTAGTTTTTACAGTTTTTTCAAAGGCAAGAGTCATAGCTGTTTCGACCCATTTATTTACACGGGGAGCGAAAATACCGGTAAAAAAGTCTCCCCGAAGAGCACAGCATCGGTCGATCGCACTTCAAACGATTTCCGATTGCATCTGCAGCAGCTCGACGCTCTCCTTGGCCGCCTCGGCCGCCTCGGCCTTTTCGCGCTCGATCTTCTCCTTGAGATGAAAGCCCGGTTCGTTCCAGAACTGCACCTCGGCGCTGCCCCACATCACGTAGATGCTGTTGGTGATGGTGAGCACCGCGGAGATGGTGTAGAACACTCGGCTCCATTCCTCGGCGCTCTGATTGGGCGTGAGCAGGCCCACGACGTAGGGCGCGAGCATCCCCGTGACGCCGGTCAGACCGTTGGCCAGCGCCATGATGAAGCCCGAATAGTTGGGGCTGAGATCGATCACGTTGATCTTGATGCTGGGCAGAGCGGCGCCCATGCAGGTGACCCCGACAATGAGGGCGCTCACCGAGACGACGCGATTGCAGCCGCTCTGCGCGGCGACGATGGTGCATATGGCCGGGCCTATCGTGGCCACGGTATTGCCGAGCTTATGGATCTTCGTGCGGCTCATGTAGTTATTGTACTCCAGGAAGTCGGCGAATTTCGCCCACATGATGCTGCTGATGGCCATGCCGAAGTAGGGCACCGCCGAGAGCAAGCCGTTGTGGCCTATGGGAAAGCGCATCACCGACTTCATGTACTTGGGCATGTCGTTGACCATGGTGAGAAAGCCCCAGCCGTGGCCGACCGAGGCGGCAACGAGCGCCCAGACGGGTTTCGAGCGGATTATGTGCCTCCACGGCACCTGTGGCGGTTTCTTGTGCTTGTGCGCGCTCAGCTCGGCGCTCAGGTTCTTGGCTTCCTGCTCGTCCATGAACGGATGCTCCAGGGGCTCGTCGTAGCACAGCGGAAACCAGACCAAGCACCACAACAGGCTCATCGAGCCGAACAGATAGTAGACGATCTCCCAGCCGATCCGATCGGGCGCGAAATACGCCAGCAGCGGACCTGAGGTGCCCATGGCGGCGACGGTGCCGAGAGGGGCGCCCGCGTAGACTATGGCGGCGACGGTGGACTTGTGCTTGGCGGGCACCCACCCGGACAGCATGACGTTGAGAGCCGGATAGGCGAAGCCCTGAGCTAGACCGGTGACGATGCGAAAGCAGATAAGCACGCTGGCGCCGCCGCCCATCTTCAGCGCCGCCGGAATCAGCAGAGTGAACAGGCCGCTGACGAAGGTGGAGATCCCGAGGATCCGCTTGGCGCCGAACCTGTCGGCCAGCATGCCCGCTGGTATGTGCGTGAGGACGTAGCCCCAGAAAAACGACGACAGGATGATACCCTAGAAACGACGAAACGATATTAGCAAAAATTGGCGATTGGCGCATTTATTGTAGAAAAATCCAACTGTATCGTCGCTATCGATTGATATACTGCTCTGACGTAAAATACGGGCGTTCAAAATTGTCTGTACAATCCAATATTTTCTGGGGTTAAACGATTGAAAAATTTCCTGACGGTATTTTGACTTAACAATTTTACTTTGCTTATTTTTACTTTGCCACTAGCAGGTTTACAAATGAGCATGCTCGCCATCTAGCGGTCGAGGCTCACACTAGTAACAGTCCGGGCGTCAGCTATGGGTCGAGTATGGATTTTCAGGTCCATAAGGTAACCAAAGCTTTTTATAGGTTTCTTGGTGTGCTGAATCGATTTAGCTTGGTTACCAAGCGTTAAAATTGGTATTTTAAAAGTTATTAACAAATTAATTGTTTATAACTTAAAAAATTTGTTCAAAAAAATCTGAAAAAATTCACACGTATTCTTTGACTAATTCTAAGACTATTTTGTTCTTTGCATTTTTTCGTTTTAGACGTTCCTTACCGAGTTAGAAAATAGCAAAGTTGTTTTTTTACGCACGAATTTGTTCAGAAACCAATCATATTTTTAATCTTTACGATTTTCTAACTCGGTAAGGAACGTCTAAAACGAAAAAATGCAAAGAACAAAATAGTCTTAGAATTAGTCAAAGAATACGTGTAAATTTTTTCAGATTTTTTTAAACAAATTTTTTAAGTTATAAACAATAAATTTGTTAATAACTTTTAAAGTAGCAATTTTAACGCTTGGTAACGAAGCTAAATCGATTCAGCACACCAAAAAACCTATAAAAAGCTTTGGTTACCTTATGGACCTTAAAATGCATTCTCGACCCATAGCTAGCGCCTGGACTATAATGATTGATTTTCATTAATTTTTTGTACAATTACAGCAAAAACTACATTATTTTTAAAATATTAATTTTCAATCAAAATTCATAAATTTGAGTATAAAATTTAATGTTATTATTTATTTAACATTATAAAAGTATCGTAAATAAAATGTAATATCGGTTGATTTAATGTTAATGTTATGATTTACATTACATCTGCGTTTAATTGACGGTTTTCCTTTCTTTCAGGTTTATAGATAAAATTCACATTATTTTTCAAGAAATTGATAAACCAAAAGTAGGTGTGACATTCTACAGAATTAATTAAATGAATTAATAGAGCAATTAGCTATGATTTCGAGACATGAAGCATTTGAATTCAATTAGAAAATCGTTGATCACTATTACGAGAATACATTAAGTAATATGACATTATCATGTGTCAAGATCTCTGTAAAACTAATGTCCCGAAAAATTTCACCGGAAATCAGTGCTTATATATTATATATAATTGCATGGGTTAAAATTTTCTTATATAAAACTTTATCTTAAGCTTTTCCAATTTAGAAATGATCAGAGAGAGAGAGAGAGAGAGAGAGAGAGAGAGAAAGAGAGAGAGGCATCAAATGGAATAATTGCTTTCAGAAGCAATTATATGGTCATTGATCATAATTTTGAAGAGATATGAAGCAGAAACAAAACTTCTTTTTTGGTCTACCTGATTGAGTATTTATTGTATCGATTGAATTGAGAATCTACAATTATTAATTTTCCGATCAAGGATTTTGTACGATTGTTATCGATGTTATCTTAGAGTAAGCGTAATCACAAATTGTTTTAAATTAAAAATTAAATATCTGGTAATAACGATGAGCCGTGTATTACGCATTTTCCAAGATAAAAAATACTTGAATTTCTTGTTATACGAGAAAATTGAGTTTATCTTTTAATTTAGGTAAGGATTCATTTGTTGAAATATTTGTTGCTAAGAGGAAATTTTTCCTTTGAAATAATTTTTTAAGATGTATCATATTTTTAAGTTTTTTTTCTAATTTTCTCGCTCAAGGAGATCCGTTATATCCCAGCTCAAACGAGAAAATTTGAAATAATTCTTAACCGGAGTAACCAATGTCGTTTCATTTGAACTATTCATTTTGCACCACGTGAGAAAAATAATGCCAGCTACACATCTTCGGCAATTCAAACATTACTCATCGCGTGCCGATGGAATATTAAAATATTAAAACTCAATACGCACTCGTTTTTTTTCGTATAATGAAAGATCGCGCGAGGAATTTTTGCTCGATAAAAAGAGTTATTTTCATGCTAATATTAAGTACAAAATATTGTAAACAAACACTTGTTCGTTCGGTTTGCAAGCCGCGCAGTCGTTACAATAACGAACAAATATTTGAACCGAGTCTGATGGATTTGTTTTTCGCGATAAATCGATCGACGACGCACGAAAAACCAATTATCGAAAATTGCAGCGCGCGCACACGACTCCGAAAATTTTTCATTCCGCTCTCGTGCGAGCGCGCGAGCGCTTAGATTACACTGCACCGTCGCGCAATGTTTTTCTCGACAAAAGTATAAAAAAAAAAAGAAATGAAAGAAAGAAAACGAAGCGACTCACGCGAGCGAGGAGAAACTTTGTGTACGTATATCACCACGTGTTGCGCTGTTTCGCACTCATACACAGAGGTAAAAAGTCGCATTCGTGTGCGCGCGAGGTATAGATAAGTTATAATATAGTATAATGTACGCCTCGCACGTGTAACGTACGCGAATGTAAAAAAAACGAGCGGCAAAAATAATATCTCTCTCGTATCGAATTTTTTTTCGGCGCACAAATTGGTACAATTATTACACATTACATTACGTGGATCGTATCGCTAGTTCGACTCACCTGTATCGCTTCATCCCAGTCGTATACTCCTCCTTCGCCAATATTTGGATGTTCTGCGAAAGTCGGGGTCGTCGAGTTTAGAGTCGTGTTGGACGACGTCGGTGGCGGCGCATCGACGAGGTTGTAATCCGGGCATTGGCCGGCCCCGATGGTATCGTTCAGGCTCTCCTCGTGCTGTATGACCATCTGGGTGATGGCAATAGATGGGCATACCCGCACGTTGTACGAGCAGAAAAGACACAAGAACACCATGATAACGGTGACCCACATCTGATTGATTTTGGTACCTGTTGGACACGCGAAAAGACGACGGGTTAATAATAGATGTAAATGACAAAAAATAAAAAAAAAAAATGAATGAATAAAATAAACGATACTCACAGCACGTTGACACTCGCTCAGTCATCTTGGCAATTGTTATCTCGAACTTTTTCTCTCAAGTCACGCTACTGCACACGACTCAAACACGAGTAGCGTCTGTCTCTCTGTATTCACTCGCGAAATAAGTAAACAGAAAAAAAAAAAAAAGAAATACTGCACTGGATGCTTCTTTTTTTTTCAAGCTCGAACGCGACAAACAAACTTTATTAAAAAACGTCGAGACGAAAATAAAACGATGAAACGAAGCTGGCGCTTTGCTGACGAGTGCGTTCCGTTCAAGTCGGAGATCGGCTGGTGTCTGCCACAAGTGTTGCTGCGAGCTCACGAAAAAACCAACGACGGTGTGGGGGTAACAGCCGCGCACCGCTGATGCGCTAGAGTTGTAATTGTTACTATTGCTGCTGCTGCATCCATAGATACACGCGTGCTACTGCGCAGGTGGTAGGGGAGCAAGAATCGCCTAGAGTAGTCATTCGAAATAGTGGGGAGCGTTGACGAGTGAATGAAATCCACTGACCAAAAAAACTCTGAATCTAATAATCTGGGCGGTCTACCAAATCTTGGAAATACTATTGGTCGAATTATAAGTACCTGCGTATTACATCTCCTTGTCTGCCTAATTGTAATGAGGCGCTCGAATGATCCATCATGAGTAGTAGAGGCCACTTTCTCTCACTTGGCCATGCATTCTTACGATGTATTGATGATGTATTACCTATCCTATTACAGCGGTGAAGCGCTAACTACCATTAATTTCAGAAGAATCATCTCGAACTTCCGTCGAACGAAAAATTATTCAAAAACTTTAATGTAAAAATCGAGTCGCGCTCGTCGACGCAGCCGCCTCTGCGCTATTATTATTATGCATTGGCCCGCGCGCGTATTGCACGACGCGATGCACGCGACTCACGCGCGCATCCACACACTGAAACATTTGCATTCGCGTGTTTGCACAAAAACACGCATAAGCACGCACACAGACGCGCAAGAGCAAATTCTCGCCGATTGATAAGCGCGCGAGCGTGGAAAATCATTGACACTGGCGCGCGTGTGTAAGCAGCAGCGGCCGACTCGACGCGGGTTGCAGCACGATGCGTTTTTGTGTGCGTGTATATAGAATAGCGTTTATCACCGCAGCGAGAGATAATATACACTCGCTCGAGAACGAGGCAAAAAAAAATCTTACGCGGAAAAGCCATCGGAGGGGATATATCTTTATCTCTCTGCTTGGAGTCTCTCTTTGGGTTTTACTTGCTCGCTTGTGTACGAATCGCGATGATATCTGCAAAACAATTAGCGCCAGGTCGAAATTACGTACGTAAACATCGGTGTGTATAAAATCGACTGCGCCAACAGGTGCAGCGACGACGACGTTTGCGCGCTACGTGCATTGCTCTTCTTTTTTTTTGCCGTACAATTACGTAACGCGTATATGAGCGCATCCAGCATAAGTCGCGGTCACACCGCGCGATTACGGCATTTTCCGCCGAAAGTGTCGTATGTTTAGCTCGCTCGGAAATGTTTACCATGGGGTCAAAAAAAAAATCCAAACTTAAGGATCGATAGATTTTTTCCTCCTCTTTCTAGCGGTAACTCAAAAAATTCATAAAAATTTATTTAAAGGTTTGATATCGACTTGAATGTTTAAGTCGATTTATCCAAAAAATGTATCCTCCGATTTCAATTTAAACTGCACCAATCGAAAGAGGAGGTAAAAATCTATCGAAAACGATGTTTTCCAGGATAGAGAAATGATAACAACTATTAAAAATATCGACAACAATAGCACGGGACGGCGCGCGCGGACCTGTTTTTTGTGCGCCAACGGCGGCACACGCGCGGCGCCGTGTTTTTGTCTTTTCGTCTCGCTCGTAATCGCTTAAAAAGGGCTGAAAAAATGAAGTAAACAAGTAAATCGATAGATTTTTTCCTCCTCTTTCTGATGGCGTTGTTGAAAAAATTCTCAAAAATTTTTGTCATAGTCAAAACTTGATTTGAATTTTTAAGTCAATATTTCTTCAAGTATTTCAATTGTGACCTCAAAATTAACATTATCAATCGAAAGAAGAGGCAAAAATCTATCGGAAACGATGTTTTCCAGGATGGAGAAATGATAAAAACTATTAAAAATATCGACAACAATAGCACGGGACGGCGCGCGCGGACCTGTTTTCTGTGCGCCAACGGCGGCACACGCGCGGCGCCGTGTTTTTGTCTTTTCGTCTCGCTCGTAATCGCTTAAAAAGGGTTGAAAAAATGAAGTAAACAAGTAAATCGATAGATTTTTTCCTCCTCTTTCTGATGGCGTTGTTGAAAAAATTCTCAAAAATTTTTGTCATAGTCAAAACTTGATTTGAATTTTTAAGTCAATATTTCTTCAAGTATTTCAATTTTGACCTCAAAATTAACATTACCAATCGAAAGAAGAGGCAAAAATCTATCGAAAACGATGTTTTCCAGGATGGAGAAATGATAAACACTATTAAAAATATCGACAACAATAGCACGGGACGGCGCGCGCGGACCTGTTTTCTGTGCGCCAACGGCGGCACACGCGCGGCGCCGTGTTTTTGTCTTTTCGTCTCGCTCGTAATCGCTTAAAAAGGGCTGAAAAGATTATATTAACTCGGAAATCGATAGATTTTTTCCTCCTCTTTCTGATGGCGTTGTTGAAAAAATTCCCAAAAATTTTTTTCATAGTCAAAACTTGACGCGAATTTGTGCGGCGCGCGCGGACCTGTTTTCTGTGCGCCAACGGCGGCACACGCACGGTGCCGTGTGTTTGTCTTTTGGAATCGCTCGTAATCGCTTAAAAAGGGCTGAAAAAATTATATTAACACGTAAATCGATAGATTTTTTCCTCCTCTTTCTGATGGAGTTGTTGAAAAAATTCTCAAAAATTTTTTTCATAGTCAAAACTTGACGCGAATTTTTAAGTCAATATTTCTTCTAGTGTTTCAATTTTGACTGCAAAATTAACATTACTAATCGAAAGAAGAGGCAAAAATCTATCGAAAACGATGTTTTCCAGGATGGAAAAGTGATAAAAAGTATTAAAGATATCAAGATGAATAGCGCGGTGTGGCGCGCGCGGACCTGTTTTTTGTGCGCCCACGGCAGCACACGCGCGGCGCCGTGTGTTTGTCTTTTCGAATCGCTCGTAATCGCTTGAAAAGGGTTGAAAAAATTATATTAACTCGTAAATCGATAGATTTTTTCCTCCTCTTTCTGATGGCGTTGTTGAAAAAATTCCCAAAAATTTTTTTCATAGTCAAAACTTGACGCGAATTTGTGCGGCGCGCGCGGACCTGTTTTCTGTGCACCAACGGCGGCATACGCGCGGCGCCGTGTCTTTGTCTTTTCGATTCGCTCGTAATCGTTTAAAAAGGGCTAAAAAAATTATATTAACACGTAAATCGATAGATTTTTTCCTCTTCTTTCTGATGGCATTGTTGAAAAAATTCCCAAAAATTTTTTTCATACTCAAAACTTGACTTGAATTTTTAAGTCAATATTTCTTCTAGTACTTCAATTTTGACCTCAAAATTAACATTACCAATCGAAAAAAGAGGAAAAAATCTATCGATTTACGTGTTTAAATTATTTTTTCAGCATTTTTTTAGCGAGTCGAAAAGACATAGCCAGGAAAACAGATCCGCGCGCGCTAATCCGCGCTATTCATCTCGATATTTTTAATAGTTTTTATCATTTCTCCATCCTGGAAAACATCGTTTTCGATCGATTTTTGCCTCCTCTTTCGATTGGTGCAATTTATCGACTTAAACATTCAAGTCGAGTTTTAACCTCAAAATCAATTTTTAAGAATTTTTTAAGTTACACCACTAGAAAGTGGAGGAAAAAATCTATCGATCCTCGTGTTTGGATTTTTTTTCTGACTCTTGGTAAACATTTCCGAGCGAGCTAAACATACCACACGTTCGGCCAAAAATGCCGTTTTTTTGCGCGCGGGGTGGCCGACTTATGCTAGACGCGCTCATATATCCGCTATTATGTCCCGATGCAACAACAAAAAAGGAGGGAATAGAAAATTTGTTCATATATTTTTCTATTCGAGCTAGACGAGATAAAACTACAACGACGAGTCGCTACTCGTGCGTACATATGCTTATTTTAATGCGCATATGTGCACAGTTGCGTATAGTATTGGAACTTTCGCTTATATGTGTACACGGAGAATTGAAACATGATCTATTATAGTTAAACTCATTTTTACGAGTACCTTGCAGACATACGAAATTCCAATGCTCAAACAAAATAAATTTATGCACGTACGTTCAAGTATATATAGCGATACGTCGAATCATTGTCAACGCCTTCGAGCGCGCTAACGAGAATCAGAAAAATCTACGAAAAGTTCTACATTTCTACTGTGTTACACGTTAGAACAATGATATTAGATGATTCTTACTTGATGGAGCCATCATAAATCGTATCGAGATGCTTCGCTTTTGAATGCCACGTGAGAGAAAGTTAATCCTATTGTCCCGAGAAATGATGTATCACAGACACATTCATTTACATAATCATAATACCAGATCTACTAGTCATTAAACTGCAATTGGACGATTCTTCGATCGTAATCCAACGCCATCCATAACGAGATTCTTATTACAAAAAAGAGTAAAAATATAATGTAATAAAATTAATGATATTCCTTAACACAAATAGTAAATACCTAACATATTGCTATAGGTGCCCTGATCATGACGCTTCGCATACATAAACTCTTATCTCACCTTACACACACGCCGTAGAGCGACTTTTTCTCCGTACAGCAGCAGCAACGGCACACATATATTAGTTTATATATATTTACAATAAATTCGATTTAAATTGCAAACGATCGCCGTCGATCGCACACTCCCTGGGCGCGAGTCGCCGTTATCAACCATTTTTTTTGTTGTATCCTCCTCCGCCTTCATCGACGCGTCGTTTATGTATGTCACACGCGACTAATTAGCATATAATGAACAGATTGCCAGCGTATGTAACGTGGCTGCCGATCTCGTGCCGTGCAGCGAGGAACACCAACAACAAAAAAGAAACTCGTTTTACGTACTACTGCACAGCTGGCGACGAACGTTTTGGATTGATTACGACGACTCTATCTATTTTTTTCGCTTCACCTGTCTACGGCTCGATTCGATCGTCGAATGTTTTCGAGTTGTGTGTCCGAGAAAAAAGTCATTATTACGCATGGTGTACGAGTGCACATTACATTACATGTAGAGTATGCATTATAATTCAACAATGAGCAATGTCGCTCGCGTATTATATGTTGTGCATCGAGTGGAAAAAATATATATTGCGAATATATATCATACGCGAGGGAAATATCTTTTTCGATACGTGTATAAAATCGCATCGATAAGCTTTTGTATAGAAAATCGTGATAGATGCTTGGAGCCGTAAACGTTTGCATATAACAGACACGGGGCAACGACTTTTTGAAGGTAATAGCGGTGCACTGCACGATCGCGAGCACAATGACACTGGAAAAAGCATTTCCACGACGTTGCGCTGCTTTATTTACTTTTATTGCGTTGGGCTCGATTAGATTTTAAAGTTTAGCGTCGTGAAAATGTTTAGCCTTATTAATTCATGTACTATTAAAGACTGTCCATAATTGATGGTTGTATAATAAATAATATATTTTATTGCTACCTTTTCAACAATGGAGCGTAAACATTAAAATGTAAATAAATTTTTATTATATACATAAGGTAATGTTTAATCGTAA